ATTTAGATAACATTTCCAAATTTCTTACAAAACAATAAAAGCGTTCGCGCAAGGGTTTTACAATTCGTTCCACACATGTGCAGCATCTTGGTAAAAATATTTTTTAAAAAATGTCTTTCTCCATTACATCTTCAACCAGTATACGAATAACACACTATCCATTTGTGATTTTTTTCAAATCAGTATTTTGTGAAAATATTGTGTAATTTCAAGTTAATGTATATAATACATAGTGTAGTGCATTACCATATCCTAATACCATGGATTATTAAAATTTTCCAATTTAACACTAAGATCAACTATTTGTAAGTACTAATTACTATTTTATTTTTTTTCTTTTCACTCCAAATCAATTGTTTTAGTTTTTAATTTTATTTTTAGTTTCCACTGAATGAAGGCTAGGATTATAGCCGAAACGTATGGATTTAAAATAAATTTTTGAAAGAAATTCATGTTTTTTATTGATGTTATGCCCGATTATTAGACTTTGTTAATACATATGTCAACATCAAATTCAGAATCATACAAAATATATATATATATATATATATAATAAAATTGTTTCTTGGGCATCCATCCAGTAATTAAAAAACAGTTTTAATGAAAAATGTTTTTATTTAAAGAACATACGTTTCGGGTCTTGATTTGACCCATCTTCAGTGCTACAATTAAATAATTCAGGGTTACAAATTAAAACAATATAAAAAAATACATAATTAACAGACAAAAATAAGTAAAACAATGTATATGAAAAGTATATATGAAAAACAACCATAAAATAAACAATGTAAAGAAACTCACCATACAAATAAACTTTGAAAAACAACACAAAAACACAAAATTGCACGAAAAAATAAATAAAAGTGAAATAAAAAATTGATGAAACGTCGAGTTATGAAAATTTTTAAAAAAATTGTAAAATTAAAATGAATGATATATTTTATTATAAAAAAGCTTATTCCAAACGAACATGTTGTTAGTTTGGAAGTTGTTTTACGAGTGTGTACGAGAGTAAAATGTGTGCGAACGTGTTTGCGGAAAATACTGGAAACTGTATCGTCATTGGTGAGAGAACGGGATAGAGAGAATTTTGGTGGTTCCATATTACGAAGATTTTCTCAACGATCATGCGCAGTAGGAACATAGTAAAAAATTTATACATGTGCAAGACATCCATAATCAAATCCCAAAAATATGTGAATGAAGAGAAAATTATTAAGAAAAAGTATAGATATTAACAGAAAAACGATAATAGTTATGGAACGATAAAAGTTACATAAAAAATTATAACATAACATATATATGTATATATAAACACAAAACAATAAATGTAATATATGTATACACATACACAAACACATATATGCATACACAATAGAATATGTAGAATACATAAAAGAATTGTTAGGATGTATTGCGCATATTGAAAAAATTATTTGAAGCATCGCGGTAAATATTGCAAAGAGAAGCCGAATCAAATCGTTTGTTAATAGAAGGTAATATTTGTATGAAAATACTCTCAGCGAACTTCCTGCGTAAAATGTTAGATTCACGATGAATAACTCTTGGATTGGTGAAATTAAAAGAATGTTTAAATTTGGAGACATGCTCAGTGATCATGGTTTTATTTTGTTTTCTGTTCAAACTATTAAGTTCGTGTTGGCGCATTCTTTTTGAGAGAAATTGTGAAGTTTCTCCAACATAACAGCTTGAACAATCATTACAATCAATGACATATACGACGTTTGAAGTGCGGGAAATAGGGGTAGGAGTTTTTAAATTAGTGTATAAGTCTGAGAGAGTGTGTCCAGTCGAACACACTAGCTTCAGACCAACAGATGAAAAAAGTTTTTTCCATGAGTGGAAAAGGCAGTCAATGTACGGTAATGAGATGAAGGAATTGAGAGATAGTGAATTTTCAGGAGGCTTCACAAGGTTTTGTGAAATGATACTATTTTGTTGTGATTGGGAGGTAAATAAGGAAGCTGTACGGAATTTATTACGAAGAAAGGGTAATCTATTATTTATTACTGAGCGTAAAAGTTGTAGTGGATAGGAATTATTTTGAAGGGTAAAATATATCAATTAATATTTTTTTCCCAATGTGATGGATGAGAAAGAAGGATGGCATGATCTAGTAAGTTGATGATGGATGCAATCTTGGTAGATTTGGGGTGATAGGAATGGTAGTTTAAATAGCGTCCAGACCAAGTGGATTTTTGATACCAACATGTAGTGATAGAGTTGTTATTTATGAAAAGAGTAATATCTAAAAAATTAATGGAGTTGTTAAATTGAGTCTCTAAGGTAAAACTAAGGTGTGAGTCAAAATTATTAAAAGAATTTAGGAAATGGTTATGTTATAAGTAGGAATGCAAGTTAAAATGTCGTCAACGTAACGTTTGTAAAAAAGAGGTACATATGACAAGGTATTAAGAGTAGAGTTCTCTAGGAACTGCATACAAAGTTCAGCAAGAGGGGCACTCAAACTGGAACCCATTGGGGTGCCAAATTTTGTTTAAAAAAGGAGTCGTTGAACGAAAAATAAGTATTGGAAATAATGAATTTAATACATTTCAGGAACCAAGAAAAATTGAAATCTGTGTGTTTGCTGATATCAACCCATTTATGGTCTATGGCAGAGAGGATAAGGTCAGGTGAAATGTTAGTGAAGAGGGAAACAACATCTAAACTTATAAAGGAAAAATCAGATGGTACATTGAGGGAGTTAAGTTTGGGAATGAGTTCGAAAGAATTTTTGACGAAATGGGGAGAATTATGAGTGATATTGGACAAAATTGAACTAATAAATTTGGATAATTTGCAAAGAGGGGAATTTAAGTCAGCAACTATTGGTCGAAGGGGAAAGCCATCTTTGTGGATTTTGGGAAGACAATAAAGTTTTGGGGAAATGGGATTGTAAGTTTTTAATTGTAGAGAGAGAGGTTTGGGAATTTGTTTGTTTTCTATGAGTGAATCAATGAATTTCAAAGCATTCCGATTTATAAGGTCGGTGGGATCTGAATTTATAGGCTCGTAAGTGTTTATATCAGCTAGGAGGGACATGGATTTGGAAATATAGTCATCTTTGTTCATGATAACCGTCATGTTACCCTTATCTGCCCTGGTAACAACAATTTCTGGGTGTTGTTTGATAAAGGATTTGCAAAGGTGGATATCTTTGAGTAATTCTTTATGTTGATGAAAGTTAGAAATGTCAAATTTGAAAAATGAATTAAGTTGGTTGCAAAAAATAGATTTAATGCGGTTTTTTTCATTGATATCTTTTAAATTACGTAAACTATATTCTAAAGAGCTAAGTGTTTTGACAAAATTAAACGATTTTTTCTGTTGTGGAATGGAAAATTTGGGACCTAATGCTAAAATATTCAAAACATTGGATGGGATGTCTAAATCTGAAATGTTTTTAACCCATTTATTGATGATATCAGGGTTATATTTAATTTGGATTCGTTAGACTTTTCGAATAAAGGGTATTGAATTTTTTATGAAGGATTTTTTTGACATATTAAAAGAATTATTGAATCTAGAGTTTTCGAAATCTAAAAAATTGTAATGTCAATGTGATTATTAATAGTGGAAAATAAGGATTGGATGTTGTAATTTAGAGATTTATTTATGTTATCAATAGGTAATGCAATGTTTGATTTCTAGATTCAGCAACATAAAGGAGAAAGAAAGCTTTTTATTTTTAAAATAATTGGAATTTAGATGATCAAAGTTTGTTAATTTGAAATCAAAGGATTTTGGTAGGAGTTTTTCTTTACGACAACGAAGTAAAAAAGTTCTTTTGTTGGTGACGATAGCCAGTTTTGAGAAAAGGTTTGAAATAGTTTTAAATAAAATGAGTTTGGTAGGTCCATAGCAATGGAAAATGTACTCGAAAAAGATGGAAAAGAGTAAGGAATGCATTGTGTAAAACTATTATGAAAATAATTGTTGTAACGGTAAATTGACGAATTATTGAAATTATTATAATTCTGTGTGTAAGTTGGATATTGATAAGAGGAACGATTATTATGTCTTACCTTATTTGTATGGAGAGCACTATTCACATATATAGTATTGAAATTATAGTTATTTTGAAAATTCATGTTGTAAAAATTAAAAAACACTTGTAAAAGTTCTTGAAAATGATCAAAATCTTGGATTTGTAACTTCGTGTAGTATTGGTTATGAGTGTCCTAACAAGGAAGTCTTGATATGTAGGTTTCGTAAGAGTCTTAAAACTTGTAGAATATTTGAAAATCAGTGTCTTGAGAATGAACAAAAAATCTTGAATATTTTATGTTGAAATTGTCCAATTTTTCAGCCCTTGGATTATATAAAGCGAGAGGTTTTCTTCAGATGGTGAATAATATAATAAAATTGTTTCTTGGGCATCCATCCAGTAATTAAAAAAACAGTTTTAATGAAAATGTTTTTATTAAAGAACATACGTTTCGGGTCTTGATGACCCCTCTTCAGTGCAACAATTAAATAATTAGGGTTACAAATTAAAACAATATAAAAAAATACATAATTAACAGACAAAATAAGTAAAACAATGTATATGAAAAGTATATATGAAAAACAACCATAAAATAAACAA